CGGGACCCGCCAGACGCGAGCCGGCACCGCTTTGTGGAGTACCCCACGCGCCCACACACTCGTCCTCGCCTTTCTCCTCCTCCTCCCCGCCGCCGCCCGCCCGCCCGCTCACCGCGCCCGACGCCCTCTTCGCGCCCACTCGTCGCCGCCGCTGCGGCTTCTCGCTCGCGTACAAGTGTCCTCGTGCCATGCTCTGCCGGCGCACATCCGAGGTCCGGGACGCCGCCATGCCGGGAGGAGGACGAGCACCCCACTTTGTATATCATCACATCCGCCATCACGGCGGCTCGTTTATCGATATGAACGCTCGCCGTTTCGACGCACGTCTCCATTTGGCGATTGCCCGCCCGTGCGAGTGCGGCATGCCGTGAGTAGACGCAGCATGGTGCAGTGTGCATACCGACAAGCAAGGAATGCGGCGGTGGCAAGGGAGAATCCTGAGAGGCGCAGCGTCGCGCGCGTGTGGGGCGCCCCCTACTAGCATCGAAATGATCGAGATCGACCGAGTAAATTTGGACACTACGTCAGTCATCCTGAGACACTTGCCCGCCGCTCAAAAATAATTATTGCGGCAGAATGGCCGCCCGCGCACCCGGCTCGCAGGTCGGGCGTCGGGCGTACTCGGCAGCCCCGGCCGCATCCGCCTCCTCGTTTACCCCCGGATCTTGCTCTCCCCCATGGCACCTCGTAAACAAACAGGCTACACACACATCCACGCGACCTCCTCGGACCCCGGACGCACATCCGAAACTTGGCTGACCCGCCGCCCCGATATTCTGATGCGGGCCGCCCCGACCGACTCGCGCCCCGGCGTCGGTGTCACGCGCACACGACCGCAGATATCTCCATCCGCCACCGGCCACCTGCACCCTGACATGGACAGCTGCACACGGACACGTCCATTCGAGGAGGACACAGTCTGGGTATCTTATATCAGCCCTGAATCCACATCCACCCCCCCATATCTGCGTCCTCTCGCCTCGTGCGGGCTGGGTTTGATCCTCGTCTGGCAGCGTGAGAGGCCCGCTCGCCTGGGGTCCACTCGCCCCTTCCGCAAAGTGCGCTCTCGTCTGTCCGCGGGCACATTCACTGATAGCTGTGCGGATGCGGCAAATATCAAGGCGTGCACCGCTGCATGGTGCACAAATTCTGCCCAAAGCGGCGAGCACGCATGCATTGAAGCACGGTGCGGTGACTCAGCGACGACGTCCTGCTCAGGGTCCCTCTGATATGGACGGGGACTCCGCGGACAGCCAACTCTGCTTTCGCTGGTGCGTGCCACGATCATCGCACGCTGCGTCCGGGCAGCGGCGGAATATCGTCGTCCTCGCGCTGCGCCTGAACCGCGCCAAGAAACAGGGCCGCTCGCACGATCTGCGAATTCGAGGGATGGTCGATAGCATGCAGCTGTGGCCGCGCGCTGGAGCGGTGCCTCCGCTCTCGGTTTTCGCACATTTGCTCCACATCCATCCATCCCTCGAGTATAGCGCGCACCTGCCACACCCACGGCCGCAACCGCCCGCCCGCAGGTTATCCTGGCCACACGCCGCGCATCCGATGCTGCCTTCCGGGCTGCACTACATAGCACTCGGCGTGCGCGCCGCGGGACTTCCGCCATCGCGGGAATCCACCTTAGCAGCGCCAGCGGGCCGCATCAGTTACACTACACCCTCTTATCGTGCCGGGCCCTCCTCCGGTCCATTCGCCCGCGCGTCCTCCTCCGGTTCTCCCCCGGACTCCGCACCGATCTGCGCGGCGTCCCGCCCGTGGCATCGTCGGGGCGCTAGCAGGAGCGCTCGTGGCGCGCGACGGCGACGGCTGGCAGCGGCGATCGTATTGACTCGTCTGCCTCGCCGTCCGTACCAAGCCGCCCGAGGCGGCGCTGGTGCCCCGCCGTCTGCCCCGCGCGGGCCTTGGGCATCGGGCGGCTGTTCTCCCCGCAAACCCCGCGGGGGCCGCCCGCGGAGCGTTCCCCCCTCTCGGACCGTGCAAAGCCTCCGCGGACTGTACATGTACACTGTATATAATGTCGCTACACCGACCGCCCGGCCGAGAGCCCAGCGCTGTCAATTTATCGGATACTCGCGCGCTGCTCGAGTCGATAGCGACGGAGACAGTACTTTACATGCGGCGCGCAGCATTCCGGTGAAAAATTTTCTCGGAATGTATACATAACGTCCGCGGGCCCGCATCGCAGCAAGTCCAGTGGATCGTAGCCCCGACCATGCGCCCCGCAATTGAGTGCGGGGGTGTGCCTCGCCCCCGGCTTGTCTGGATCATGTCCAAGGCTCAGCGATCGAAGCTTCTCTTTCACAAAGCTGGTCCACCGGTAGACAGTGCCCGATTTATGAGAGACCACAATTAAGCTGGACATGACGAGCCGGAACAAATACCTGGTAAAACATTCAACTTATTTGTTGGTGCCCAGTGCAAAGTAACATGAATCAAAATCAGAAACTAAATCATTCAATGAGATAGACTACATTCACATGAATAGCATATATCAACTTTCTTCACCCGTTCTCAACGCAGCCCATCGACCAATTTAGGTTCCTAATTAATAAACGCGATTTTCCACTGAGGTTCATACTTCACACGAAAAGCGACAATTCGCAAGCAAAGCATCTATTGAGCAGATCAAGCGCACAACACACAACACGCAAACGAACTACAGCACTTCCCCGCGATTCAAACGAGCTTTAGCATGGCAACAGTACGTATAGTAGTCAGTCGAGTCCATAAAAATCATGTACAACCAGTCGAATTCGTATGACGATCAATTGAAGCAGCAATAGATATTCAGATTGAGGAAAGAGACGACCACGACGAATGTCGGCGGGGAGTGGGATGAGTGTCGAGCGCTAAGATTTTGAGGATATTCTTGCTACTATATGCAATGTTCCGGCAAACGCGCAAAGCCATGACGCCTCCTACGAGGCCGCTTACCATAGTCAAGAAATCAAGCCGGACACAGTGGAGCAAGGGATGGGAAAGGGAAGATTGTCGCCTAGGAAAGTAGAGGGAGACAGACGAAGTGGCACTAAACATCAGATGAGCAAACAGTTGACGATGCAGGCCGGCGAGACGATGAACGGAATCGAACGAGGCGAAGTCTGGAACTGGGAGGGGAACCTTGTATCCACTTGCTGATGTCGTGTCGGCGGCTGATAGCGAAGCGAGGTCGAATAACGTTACATGAGGTAAAGGATGTCTGCATGCGATTTAGTCGGTATGAACCATTTCAATCGCACCACATTGTTCGCAGTGCGCCCACATAGTCCGTTGACCGTTGAGTCCGGGTGAACACGCAACGCGAAGCTTGGGAATCTGCGAGCAATTTTGACTAGCAATAAGGAAAAGGGACAAACGATCAACGTGTTAGCAAAATCCTAATTGGAACATTCAGCGTGAAAGAAATCAACCCACCCATGATGAGTGAAAGAAGCACTCCGAGGTTGAAGAAGGCCGACGGGTTTTGGTGCCTCGTGAACGGGAGCATCGAACGGGTTTTGGTTGCCGACGTAACCGGGGTCATCGTGGGGATAGAGATCGAACGACGGATAGAACGCTGGAAGATGGACATAAGACTCCCGTTGCCTACCAATCATGAAAGACTTACGAGAGTTTTGAGGAGAGCCCGACGAGCTCGATGATGAGTAGCTGGCGTTAGAGGGAAGGCGTGTATGGAAGGGCTGGATGGGGATGAGGAGAGGCTCAAGGTTATACGTAGGTGCATCCGACATAACGACGTCGGTGTCTGGCTCGGCGTTGGGGAAGGGAATGAGCTTAGGCTGCTTCATGTTCTGCGCGAGACGCGTTAATGAGCGCGTCACGAAAGCATGTGACGCTAATCACTGACCATGGGCATATCGACCGACTCAGCATCGTAGTCGAACTTGCGTTTCAGAGCCATGTGGGGGTATGAGTACGGGTGCGTGGGGCAAGGTAGGCTAAAGGTAGGGAGCACAGACGGCGGATGAAGCGTCAGGGGGAGAGTGTGAAGAGAGCAGCCCTGACGAAGGGCCTGTATCATATAACCTGCTTATTTGTTAGTGTTTATTCCCGAAATGTTTGGACACTACAGTTTCCATATCTGGGACTAAATGCATCGGCGTCCCCCGGCATGTTGAATAAGCCGCCGTGATTGGCTGGAGTGACAATTCTGACCCCAGATTTGGGGGCCGCGGAGTCGGAGAGACCGGCTGTCCACCGTTCCGAAGCCGTCGTGACGTGTTATGACATATAGGCAGTCACACCTCCCGTCCATGTTCTATTGGCGGGATCGGCCTCGTGAACGAACTGGAGTAAGATGCTGGGCAATCACGATTGGTTGAGCGGAAAGATTAGTTTCCACATGCCCACACATGACCCAATAGTCTCCGCCTCCTGGAGTCTGGAGCGCGGGCTTGCACATCAGGTTGCGGTGGGACAGCCTCGATGCCAAACTTATCCTCGATGGCGTGGCCGCTTCCGAGTGAGCGCGATAGTAGTCAAATTATTCCCATATGCTGCAGGGAAGTTATCGCAGTGGCACGGATACGGCGCCACGCTTCTATGCAGTCCACATGAAATTCGCATTATGGACCAGTCTAAAGTGATTATATTTCCTCGAACTGCACGTCAGGGCTCACCTGTTTAGCCATCGCAGTTTGTCCCGGATTGGAATGGGACAGATGCCTGAAAAGACGCGGATATCAGGAGCGTCCGACCACTGTCTGGGGTGCTGCCACCAGACACCCGAACTCGATAAATCAAAACTGAGCCGTACGAGCGGATTACAAGCGGCGACGAATTGATGGTTGATTCGTCGTTGATTGTTCTCAGCTCGAGAGCATCGAGGGACCAACAATCTACCAGATTGACCGATGTGCAATATTACTCCATGAAATAAATACAGATGTGACCGTGACTGTCTCTGAGAGGAGTGATTAAAGCATACTCTCAACAAAGTGATCCGGCGAAAGGCGACGAACGATACGCACCGACTCAGGAACCAAACCAGCAATCACCTAGACGTCTGGGATTTCGCCTTTACCTTAGACTTGTCTTTCCTCTCAGGCTGCTTTTCTTGTGCCCCATAATCATGTTCACGCGTCTCTCCCTGCAGCCCTCGGTTCAAATCCCCCACGACACCCTTGGCTGTTTCCCACCATCCTCCCTCGACCACAGTGCGCCCAATAGCGCCCATGATATCGCCGAGCACATTGCCCTCAGCGCTTCTACCATCCGCCTCAGCCTGCGCATTCTCGCTATACTCCCACTCCCGATGTTTGTCCCAAGTCTCCCAGGCCTTTGGGCGCGGGGCCTTCTCCCTCTGAGTTTTTGCGCGCGAGGACCTGCTACCGGGGCGCGGGCCACCCGCAGTGTTCTGACCGTTTAGCATGTCAAGGAGCATCCCCCCGACTGCGGGCAGGACGCCTCCGGTCACCAAGCCGCCGATGTCGTTCCCGCCATTCGCTTGTGCGCTTCCGAGCATCCACCCTGCGCTCGCGGCGAGCACCGAAAGGATGAACCCCCATTTCACGACCCATATCCCAGTACGGATCATCCAGCTCGTCGTGCGGTATAGGCTCACCAGCGCGAGATACGCAGCGAGGAAAGTGATCAATGGCGGCAGGATAGTTTGGGCGTCCCATGACGAGGGTGGGGATGAAACTATTCCTTTTACTAGCGAGAATGATGACATCGCGAGCGAGAGTGTATAAGATATAAGAGTCGTCAGAATGGCATAGACGGTCGGGGGCAAAATCGACGAGAGGTAGTCGAGAAGAGGGTCGAAGAAATCAGGTACAGCACTGCTGGGCGCGTCCATAATCAATAGCGAATCGTGTCAGGTATCAGGTATACAGCTGCGAACTATCCAAGCACCCACAGGGATGAAGTGAGCTGGGTATGCAGCCAGGCTGCACAGAGCTGTCCGACAAGTCGCTGAAGGCGGATGGAAGTAAGCGCCCGAAGGTGCCGTCACGTGCATGCTCGCTTCTCGCCGCTGCGCGTTCTTGCGAGAAACCGTCCGACTCAGGCCCTCACGCTGGTGACTAAGTCTGACCCACACGCCCAACCTCCCCCGCGGTCTCCCCCAACGCTCCCTCGTCGTCGCATCATCTTCCAGCCATGTCCGGAGCAGCAGCATCCGCCGGCGCGTCCAAATTCCAGGCATTCATGAACCATCCCGCAGGTACGCCTCGGTCCCAGGGCCCGCCCCGCGATCTGCACTGACCAAAAGCGATTCTCGCGCACCCTGTCTCTTTCCTTACCTCCTTTCATTTTACGGCCGGTACCAATGTACACTCCTACTCGGCGGATGCTCTACGATCCTTGCAGGCCCAAAGACGGTGTTCTTCTGGGGGCCCATGATGAAGTGGTGCTTGGTCGCGGCCGGTATCAAGGACCTATCGCGTCCCGCTGAGAAGCTGAGCGTGTCGCAGAATATCGGTGCGTTTTCCCTCTGCGCCCGTCGTGCACGCCCGACTATGTGCTGATGACACGCATACAGCGCTGACGGCCACGGGATTCATCTGGGTGCGCTACTCGTTCGTCATCACACCCGTCAACTACAGTCTCGCTGCGGTACGTCGATCTCGCTTGCCCCCTCATCGATACCTCCACTCATTGAATACCGCCCTTCAGGTCAATTTCTTCGTCGGATCGACGGGCCTCGGACAGCTTGGGCGCATCTGGCAGTATGTCTTGTCCGCACCACCTTCTGCGCTCGCTACATCTAACCAACGGCACGTGTTTGCACACAGTTACCGCCGCACGCAGCAGGACCCTATCGCGGACATGTTCGGGTCCAGTACGGCCACCGCTGGGCTCACCACGCAAAAACCAGGCGCCATCACCGAGGCGGCCTAGAGTACCATCGTTCTCGCTTTTTGTCTATTACGTATCGTTCCTAATCTTGCCCTTTTTATTCTACGAATGCGAGTACAACGCCCGACGGCATAGGAATGGGACCGAGCAGGAAGCGAAACATCCGAAGACACTCCTGCATTGGCCATGAGCTTAAACGTACTGACGACCGACATTAGGGTCTTCGACGCGTTGAACCACGCGGCAATAAGATTGTTGCTTATCGACAAAATTATTGCAGCTGCGTATGGGCGGCGATCTGTCAGTCAGCCTGTCTGATATCTTACGACGCTTTCGGAAAGCCTTGGGTGGCGGCGCTTTTTCTCCGCGCTGCGTCGAGACGTAGATGGAGGTGGGGGACGCCTCATAAGCTATGTACCGCAATTTTCGTAATTTGGTGGGCTGTATGCAATTCTGATCGATTCACACCTGAACGCCTCATGTAAGCGTCTCGTTTTGCAGCTCAAAAGTGCCGACTCAAGGTTTTTCGAGAGCGCTGTGGTCATAGACACTGTAGTCGCGCACATGCCGATGCCATAGGCGATAGGGTCGAATTTGATTGGTAAAATAGTAGCATACATGTCTGTGGGTTCTGCTCGTTTCGTCTCCAATATTAATTTAATTTCCGGCTGTGGTAAATGCATTACTGATACAGTATACAGTACATCTTGCGAGCATTACTCCTCCCAACGTGTGCACCTCTTTATCTGTCGTAGTCTAATTTGGTACTGGTACTATGTCTGTGTTGCCGTGAGTCCCCGCACTTCGAAGGCTAGAAGCTTAGAACACGCGCCATGCGCACCGGACTGCAACATGAATTCCAAAGTGAAGGCGCCAAGCGTGCAGGCAGCACAAGACCACACCCCACACCTTCACTTTGGTGACTCACTGCTGCAGGGGCCGCTTGATTTCGTGTCTCTGTAGGAAGATATTGTGAAACGCAGCGCCGTTCACCGTCACATTTGAGTCGACATCTCTGAGAGGCCGCAGCTGAACATGAAATGCATCCATCAACAGCCTGACCGTACTCGGATCCGCTGGACAAACATGTCGACGTCTGCGCCTCATGTCAGGAACGTGGAGAAGGGACCATCCGTAAGCACCTCTTGGCAAGACTCTGTGGTGCTGTGTGGTACCACTCCGGAGACCAACTGTGGTCTCATAGTGCTACACGTCCTGGCCATCCTGAATTACCAAGAGGCCAATGCGACATGAACCACAACGAGATCCCAATTCACGAGCACACACGTATCAAATAGAATTTATGGTACATCCCAGATATCCAGCCTGACAGAGAGCATCCTCCAAATGAGCAACTTGGAAAACCTTGATAACTTGCGAGACAACACACATTAGTCCTCATTGAGGAACAGAACAATTGATACCCACTTACCGAGAACCTCAAGGAGTAGGGGCAAAGAGCGCCACTGTAGCACAGGCAGCGGAGCAAGTCCCCAACCCAGCATTGCAGGCAAGTATAGTCGCTGGAACGCCAGGAGCGGCTACAACAGTTCCAAACTGGAATCCAGCAGCAGCATAGCAGGCCACAACCACGGCGTTGCACCCTGGAAATACGTGACTCATCGACTAAAAGAATGACAGGCAAGTATTCCTACCTGTCTGACATATGCCATAAGCAATGGGACCTGCCGAGGCAGGGACCACAATAGCAAGCGCAACGGCGACAAAGCTAAAGACCTTCATGACAATGGAGGAAGATTTAGGTGAAGAGCGAAGATAGTTGAGGTCGTAGTTGCGGGTCAAGATAGTTTGGGTGCAGAGTGCCCCTGACGAAGCCTTTTATATCATATTAGCGCGACCAATGTCGGCATCCAGCAGGCGGCGTCTACGTAACCCAAGTAGCTGCTGCCGTGGTTCGAATGGCATCTGCTTTCGAGCGAACCCCATTCCATGTGACAAGGATTGCTCACGAAAGTGTATGGCGCTTTGAAAATTCAAGGCGAACATGGACGCGTGCCGTCAGAAAGTCTAGGGAACGATGTTATGCTCTGCAAATATGGCCGACAAAGCTGGTCGAAACAGCCCGCAGCATTCCGCAGAACCAATACGACAGGTGTTGCGGTGGTACATCAATGGCCATGCTCATTTCCCCTGGGAGAGATGAACATGGTATTGCCCACACCAATTGAGCCTAATCGCGACGAAGACGACCACGAAAACATTTGGAGCTATACATACATACAGCCGAGACAACACAACGTGGCGTCAACTTGCCACTGCACGATGCCAAAAGATTGGTACATAAGACATTCGTGGACAATATCAAACGATTGCGCGCGTTCTGCACGAAACGATCTACTGGAACATGAAGTGAAATTACTGAAATTTGTGGATATGAGTAAGCACTCACGGAACTTCAGGGAGTGGGCGCGAGAAGAGCAACTGCAGCGCAAGTAGCGGAACATGTACTCAGTCCGGCGTTGCAAGCGATAATGGTGGCGGGGGCGCCGACAGCTGCGATGACGGTTCCAAATTGGAAGCCTGCAGCAGCATAGCAAGAAACGGCGAGGACGTTGCAGCCTGGCACGCATGAGAGTGAGCTAGTTACCAGAGGAAAAAAATACTAGGGACTCGCCCGTCTGACACAGGCCGTAGGCAATAGGCCCGGCCGACACGGGCAGGGATATGGAAAGCACGGCGGCAGCGAGAAGAGCATGAGGGAAGAGCTTCATGGCGATGTGAGAGCGAATGTGGTGGTTGAGGATCAAGACGGAATGGGTGCCATGGATCCCCTCTAGGGCTTTATAGCAGCGCACCGTTTCCAGGACTATTCGATAGTTCAGAAGCTGACAATGAGCGATGACGCACCGGGGAGATCGTGTGTGCTACACATGTGTGTCGTTAGTTAGACCAGCCTGGTCCTAGGAATGATCAGAGCAAGGCTGAGTTTCAGGCGAACACAACAGTCGAGCAATATATTTGGTGTCTACATTTTTGGTGTATGATTTGCGGGCAGGGATTTGGCAAGTTGTCAAATGTTCGAAAGCACATGCGTCACATCAAGCTGAGTAGGCTCGGAAACTCGAGGGCGTCGTTGGCAGGACATGTCGCAAGCGAGGTGCGGGATTCGAAGCCAAGTATGAACGCACGTGATGCGACGGCTGCAAGTGACATCAGTGGCGGATCCCAAGTTACTACCACCTAAGCAGGATCTTCAAGTTCGAGCTCCAGTCAACTTTTCTTTCAGCTGACGTTCCAGATATATGTCGAACCCTCAAGCTTATCCCTGCGCTATTCGAAAAACGTCTCGCATGGCTGTTCACTACTCTCTACGTGAGATGCGTATGCTTCCTGCCTTCGGGTTTGCATAGATAAGCACTACACATTGGATCCTCTGACAGTAATTTCTGGCTGCTGCATTCTCTGGCAAACGAAAAGTTCGAGGTGAGCGCAGGCGGTATTCATTATACAGGTATAAAATATCATATATCAGTCCTCGGCTGCCCTCGCGCACTTCGACCTTGTAGAGGTCGCCAGTACGTGATCCAGGCCTCGTATCTAATAGGTGTCATTTACGCCCATAACACCAGGAGTCATCCCAGCAACTCCGGAGCGGACGCCGCCCCCTGTCCCACCCGCACCGACACCGGTGCCCATGCCGCCTCTACCCATTCCCGCACCGAGACCATTGCCCATACCACCTGTTCCCATTCCCGCGCCGACACCATTACCCATGCCGCCTGCTCCCATCCCTGCACCGACACCATTGCCCATGCCACCTGTCCCCATTCCCGCGCCAATACCATTGCCCACGCCGCCGGTCCCTGGTCCTGCCCTGGCGCCCCGGCGTCCGCCAAATCCACGCCCACCAGTTCCGCGTCCAAACCACCCCCGCCTTCCCGTTGTCATACCCGTCGTCCCTGCCGCCGTGCCCGGCCCCACGCCTCCTCCCACCCCGCCACGACGCCCGACGCCGGGTCCTGAGCAGCACAACCCGCAGCAGAGGATGCCTGTGACCAGCTGAGGGTACGTCCATGTCAGAGAGGATCCAGACGCGCAAGGAAAATACGCACCCAGGCGATGCCTCCAAATATAAGTTCAAAGATGCCGATGATCGCGGCGACTATGGCGTTGATAGTGCCGACCAGGATGGAGATCAGTACGCCCTACAGATGACGTCCAGCTTTAGACGACGATCGCTGTGAAGTCCGCGAGTACACTCACCATAATAGTGTTCTTAGTATCAATAAGACAATTGCGCGCCAAGCTTCGTGGTTCGTGATTCGTAAAGAGTAAAAGAGACAAGTACAGCAGTATGAAATGCTCGGAGATGGGGATGCAATGCCGTTATCTCTGAGCTGCCGAGACTTTATAGCTTGTCCTCGAACGAGACCCACCGTGCGCACCACCGCCTATTCTCCATCGCCACATGTCCTTACGCCCTCCTGATGTCATGCTACGAAGTAGCAGTCACCCACAGGTTGATGTTGCAGCTCGACGACCCACAGCGGAGGTGCAGATCCTAGCACGGGACAGGAGTGCTCCAGCACTTGATGTTGAAAAATCTATAAGCGGAGCAAATCGTGGAGCTAGATCATATGAGATTCTTCGCCCGCCGAATTCATAGCCCGTAGGAAAGCCAAAAGAGGCCGCACATCGCATTGTGCCGGAGTGAATGTGGAGTAACCGTGGTACATGATAAATACATTACTGTGGTGAGTGGGTACCGTGTGCACAAATAAATTATCGCAAAAGAAACAGCATACACGACGGGCACGCTGCCCATCTACTACTCTGCGATCTAGGGCGCGAAGAGTGATCATGATAGTACCAGTAGAGTACTTGACCGTCCGGATAGATGAAAGAAAGATCGCGGAAAGTCGCCGTAATGTGCAGAAGTCCCAAATATTCACATGAAAAGTCCCATCCAGATGAAAAAAAAAAGGGTGATTTTACTCGTCATTGTAATCGCCCGGCAATGCGATCTTGAATGAGCTGCGTGACCGCCGGCGCGTGGACCGGGATCTGCGTCCCTTGGAACCCCTCCGGGTAATTAGGCCACACAGTCTCCGGATATGAATGGTATCTGATGGTACGATCAGGACCCGCAGGAGTATGAACGCTGATCGACTACTTACGTATCATTCCAGATAGCGAAGTGTCGCATCCCCAGGGCATGTGTGGTCCACTCGTAGTCGTGCGCAAAGCCGGTTGGATAGAAGATCTCAATAACCGTCGAGATCGGTGTGACGGGCATCATGATGAGGTGCTATAGGTAATGGCATCGGCATCGAGTAGAGGAACAAGAGAATGAAGGTATGGTAGACTCACTGTTAGTCCATTTCCATGAACACCAATCATAATCTAGAAGAATGAATTGGATCAACGTTTCCCGTCAAAAACATCAAGCGTACGTACGGTCGTGCGAGCTGCAAGGGCGAGCTGTTCCTCCTTCGACAGCCGCTCGGCCTGCACCACATTCAGCTCCCATCCATGTGCATCGCACATCGAGGTTAGAGCCTCAACCAGTGTCGCGTGATCGTCATCAATCAAATGTCTGCGCGATCCTTGCCTGCTAATGTACGTCACCACTATCGGGTCGTGCGTAGCAGTAGCAGCAGCCACCACTAGATCCCCCCGCTGTGCATCCACGTGGTAGCCAATGGCCAGTGTCTTCTCATCCACGCCTGAAAAGCGCAACACCGAGCGGCGTATCGGCTCCCACCAGTCTGCCGCGAGCGTACCAAGCTTGCGCCCGTGCTCGACAGCCTCCGCCGCGATGCGCTGCGTACGCGAGCCACATGCCTCCCCACGGAATGCAGCAGAGCGGTCCGTCAACATGACTGTGTCGAAGATCCACGCTCGCGGGCGCCCTCCCCGCGACGACGTCGCGGCGATCCGGTCCTGCCAATCTTCTTGCACCTCGACGGCAAGCGAAGGGAATGCCGCGCGCAGGAAATATGCGTTGAATCCCGGCCGGTCGCGCCAGCCGTTCGCGTCGGCATGCGCGAAAATCATGCGGTCGATGGGCGGGGCGCGCGACGAGGTCCAGGATGTGGAGCTCGCCGCCGTGTTGAATGCGCTCTGCCAGAAAGACCAAGCACCCAGGAGGAACTCTGCACAAAAATGATAATAATGGTCTAGAAACTGCGAGGGCTCGTTGATGAGGACGGTGTTTCCTTCGATGGGCCAGATGCGGTTGCGCTCTGCTTTGTCGGGATCTCCGCCCCAGAGGAGGCGGGCCTGCGACGGGGTGATGACATCCATGTCGCGAGCAGTAGGCATCCTGAGGGCGATGTTTTCGGGGGTATTCTCTGCCGGGAGGCCCGTAGAGGTCACGAACATGATGTCGGGAAAGGCGGACATTGGCTGAGAGGAGACAATGTACAGGGTGCCGTAGAACATGTAGAGATTGCGATATACAGTCCATCCGGGTGCGTGCGAGACTAGTGTGGTCTCTGGGAAGTCGTGCGCAATGTCCACAGCAGTTATGATATCAGATTCGGACTCGACTGTGCCCAAGGGCTGCTGTGCCTCCTCCTTTTCGAGCGGTGAATCTTCGACATTGAGGTGGGAGATGGCAGAATCGTTGATCCCCCCCATGAAATGTGAACTGACCTGCGTGCTGACAATGATGGAGCCCGGCTCCTGGAAGAGGACCGTGGCGAGGTGCATGGTGGTCGCCCCGAGAAGGATGAGGACGACATCTCGTAACGAGCGTGTGCGGGGAAGGCCCATCGTGTAGAACAAGAAGTATGTAGGAGGTCAGAAGGGAGGGCGCATGAGGAGGGGGATGGCGGCTCGCAGGGGGCTGGTCGTTTATAGCGAGGGGAGACTTACTTGAATCCTTCCCAATCGGGGCACTGCGTAAATTATTTCGCGATCGCAGCGCCAGATCCGATCTCTTGGTCTCTCAATAGGGCGGTCGGACTTCCGAAATGGGCGTCTCCGCTGCTGATGCGTCGAGGCGGAGCTTAAATCCGATGGCTGGGCTGCGGACTCGACTCGCCGCTGAGGAGTCCGCGTCAGGAGCTGCCAGTGTCGACGTCCTGCGCCGTCGCTGTGTCTCGCCTGGCCAAGTTCTGCCCCTCACCAGTCCCTTTCCCCGTCAAGTTCAAGTTCTCGCCTTGCGTCTTGGAATCGCAGGCACGCTTGAGAATTCGCACTAGTCAGCTGGACAGAGCTGACGTGGAACGGCGTCATCCATTCCAGCCTCACGTCGTTCTCCGCTATCGGGGCGTCTGGTCAGCGCGTTTTCAGTGATACAACACGTCTCCGACACAGCCGCTGCTAGCCGCTTTCGCCAGTTGCTACCAAGGCTTGCGTAGACGGTACCGCGGTGGAGCGCACTCAAGTCGGCTGCGCTGCTCCACAGGAGTTGCTCTGGCGACTCGGGTATGGGCCCAGACATGTCTCGCGCCTCGCTACATACTAATTCCTCCTCAACGCGACGCGGGCAAACCAGAATCTTGCCTCCGATTTCAGGCCTCAGAGTTTAGACTCGATGTCGGTCCCAGAGAGGATAACTCAATCTCGTAACGGTTAGAGCAGAAGCAATCGTACATCCAGGATAACTGTCACCACAATCCAACTGTTATTACTCGCTAGTACAGGCTAATATCATTCATCATCGTCATATCGCCATAGAACAAGGTTCGGATGCAGCTGCATCGGATGCTTGTGGGCTAATCAACGCCGCATCACTAATGTATCGTATCGTGAATATTCACCACGATTATAACCACTCGACAAGATCAGAATGCGGGGAAGAACCCAAGCAAATTGATTCCCTCGTCCTCTTCGTCGTCCACACCGTCACACGCATCTGCCTCCCACTTCTTTAAGCGATGCGCGACGAGCTCGTCCAAAAACAGTGTCGGCTCTCGTGCGCCCCGCTTCAAAAAATTGCGGATATGCCGCTCCCACTTCTTCATCAGTCGGAATTTCGCGTCGCCCGAAACGAGGAACGTCGTCTTCGCGCTGAACGGAGGTAATCGCTCCTGGTATGCCAGGATACCCACTTGCGCAAGCCAGTAGTACGGCAATGCTTGGTCCATAAACCGCGGTTCAAGCTCAGAGTACCGTGGCGAGTCTGGTGAGCTCCGCCAACTCTGTAGCCATTGATGCAGCGTCAGTTGTAGTGAGAGGATCTTCTCCGGGCTAATATAATTCTTGCTCGACCCCGATAGTGCGTTTTGGGTCCCCAGCTCTGGCAGTCGCGCCTCGAGGAAGTCCTCGAACAGCTGGCGTAGAATCATGTGTATCACAATGTTATGTGACCATGGGCTAAGCACTAGTGGCGAAAGCGAGCCACTGGGGTCCGCCAAACGGGCGTAGCTCGCCTGAAGCGGAGGCCCGCATAAACGTTGTGACGTGGTACCATATGGCGAGGGCTGTCTAAGGATGGCTAGCCATTCCTCCTCAGTAGACGCGGACCATAATGCGTTCTCGCACGGGAGACGCATGTCGAACTCGGATGTGATATAGGTAGGTCGCAGGTTAAAGTAAATGGAGTGACAACAGTCGTGCAAATATGATACGGCGAGGGCCCTGCGGCAGGACTGATTACTATGGAGTGATCACGCTATGTTACGTATAACTCACCTCTTAGCTGTCTCGTGCATCGCCCACTCCCGCCATGATTGATACGCATTCGATGGATCAATGTTATCAGGGGATTCCCATGTTGAAATCCTCTCTGCAAACCCATTGAGGCGAATCATCTACGGATGTCAATTAAGACACGCTCTCTCATTGTTCCGTTAATACATACCATCGCCAGCATACCATGATAGACGTTGGAGAATGCGCGTTGTTCAGGACTTTGATGGAACAACCCAAGAGTCTGGAATAAATCAACAGCAAGTGCAAGACAGATTTGATGTTGCAAATCCGTTGACGCTTTCGCCTGCGTGAATGCTCGTGAGCACGACCAGTATATTGACGCAAACGATCGAGGCTCACAAACTCCACAACTAGTTCGTCCCTTGCTCGAGCAAGAGCAGAGTCAATGAACGAGATAGCTGTACGCGTCTTCACATACAAAGCACCACACGCTTGCATGGCGACCAGCAATATGGGCGACCCCTTGTCCAAGTCAAACGTCGGCGCATGAATAATTGGCATATTGGGGAGATACGCGGAGAAGAATAAACCAACTATAATAATTCACTTAGTATGATATACTGAACGTTACGCGCCACGATACTCACGGTAAGTCTGCAGCTCCACAGGTGAAGGGCCACCGTGAGCCACAGTCGTAGTTGTAGCTGGCGAACTAGCATCGCTAACCCCAGCGGTCTCAGATCCAGAGGAACTGCTTGGCACGGTCACTGGGGTTGGTATTTGAAACACCTCTTCCGGGATCGGCGCCGCAGTAGTTGGCCCAATATGAAAAGAGAAATCGGAGTTAAACGCGCTGTTCATAGCACCCCATTCGCCTTCTAATGGTACGGCTTTATGGCACGCACTCGACGTCGGGGGGAACATCATTTGGGACGGTGCGAAGACGTTGTCCATGAGACCATGGAAGATGTCATTTGCGAACATGCTGTTGCCCTGGGGAGGAAGGGGGGTCTGGTCGATCTGCGCGAACATTGAGCTACTGGCAATTGAGAAGTCGACGCTACCTCTTGATGGAAGGGAACCACCAAAATCGGCAGCCGGGGACCTAGGATCCCGGGCGAGTGATGCTCGGAGCGACTCTAGGTAGTCTCGGGGAAGAGTCGACGGAGACATAAGTCGATCCTGCCCTCGGGCAGCCGCAGTGGGCGGGTGAGCGGCTAGGATGGCGAGCAAGTCGGCCTCCAGATCGTCCACTTTGGAAAGGCGGTCGCCCGTCTTGACGGACTGAGCTTTTACGCGAGAAGACGTCGCGCCTACATATATGCAATCGCGTCCGCGCGCTTTGCACTTCGAACAGGGCTGCTGAAGATCACACTTCACCTTGGAGTCGGCACATGACTGACAGGATTTGCGCCGGGAGCGGGTCGCGCTGCCCCTAGAGCCACGAAGGTCAGCAAATGCCTGATAGACAATGAAGCACCGTCAAGCCAGAGCTGTCCTGCGCTGACGTGGGCATTCTGATATAATTTTATTGTTAACACAACATAGTGCGCGAACGACATCGACTGTGCACCCCCTACAAAAAAATGCGCCAGCAGACGGGAGCCAGAGCCGATGGCTTCCGTGACCAAGTAGCAATCGCAAACACACAGGTTTTTGCGCACAACAGCGGCTTTCTTTACAGATAGCCGATCACTTCTGGAAACGGGAAGCGATTTACAGAGCGGCAAGACCTTGCAGAAGATACTCACTGGTCGCCGCAAGAGCGTTTATGTCTCGTGAGGAGATCGCTGCGAGTGAATTCAGAGTGGCATCTCTGTTCAACCAAGCGAAACAGGTTCAATCGAAATTCGCAGGACTGATTTAGCAGTACCTACATCGCATTCGTGAAGCTTCTCCCTCGTATCTAAACACCGGGGAATCAGGACCAGTTATGTTTCTCACGAGATAGGAACATACGAGTCCGCAAATGTCGGCTCAGATGCGTTGTTCTTGTGAATTTGGCGGGACATAGGGGACATGTCTTGGTCTGGGGGACTGAGGGGACGTTGCCCCTGTGGTTGCGCATTCTAGATGTCGTGTCCCTCTTGAGTTCTTCCGCAATCTCAGCCACACTGAGGGATGTCTGGGGATCGGCGAGAGGGGCGTTGGCGACGGGGACGGGGACGGGGACGGGGGCGAGCATGGCGAGGGAAATGCGGGGACGGGAAAATGAGTAGCCCTTTGAGCAGGTTATGATGGAGTGGGATGTTTTTAGCGGCCCCTTCAGCCTATGCCGGGGCGCGGCGTCACATCGTCTCCCGCAACTGGCGGCAATTGCCATCACGCTCGAGTCACTCCGGTACCGACCCCCGCCACTACCGAATGCGGGTTGTTCCCGAAAATATTGGCACTGTTCGTAGTGTCGCGCAAATAACACAAAAATTCACGATTCATTCATCGCACTTATTGAACCCCTCTGCAGTTTCAGGCGAGCAGCGTTTGCGTCCGTAGACTTGGAATCCCACCGGAAGCACCACATGAACGTCTTATCTTACCAAGCATAAGCGCATGAGAATCCTTCTATTAGCGCCCTCAACGACCGGAATACCAGCCATTGAGCAAACTGTTGAGACGTGGGCAGCCTTAAAGTTACTCATAATAACCGGTATATTCTCCAAGATACATGGCCAAGTGCGCCCGTAAGAATCTCATACACATGAACGAATGCACAGCTTACTAGCTAGGTGATCAACGAAAACAAACACAATCTCATGCTGGTAGCAATACAGTGGGACAGTGGGCAATGATCGTCATACATCTGTAAATAGTCAGACAACGGCAACAATGGTGCACAGACAGACACGGATACGTCCAGCGATAGCACATAAATATGATAGAGAAAGTGAGAACCATCGTGTGATGAAGTGAGTCAGAGACATAGCCTAGTAAATATACTTCCATAGGTCACTACTTGCCCATCAACTGCAGGTTCTGCACAAAGCCTTTGAGTCCACCCAGCCGTTGCTTGTAGCCGGGGTGGCTACGCGAACCAGCGGTCGAGCTCTGCCGCGGATCTGGAGACGGTGAAGAAAAACCCATCTTTGCGAGTTTATTCACGCGCGCTGCGTGCCGCTCCTGGCTGCTCAATTTCCTGTCAAAATCCGGGTACGAATCCGTGGGGGCAGTACATATCCGAGACAGAGGAGCACCGGTTGTGGAATCAGGAGATGGGAATACATCGGAGCCAGGCTCAGGAGTGTACGAACGGTTCAGCCTTGGCCTCGCATCGCGATAGAACTCCGAGTTCGTCTTCAAGTGTGAACTCCTCGGTGGCGTAACTGGGTTTCCCTGCATGCGAGAGTACAGATCTGTCGAAGACGAGCTGGCAACATGAGATACCGGCGCAGAAAGTTGATAGACAGATGAATGAGGTCCGTCACCTGGACGGAATTGTGACATGTCCGATGAGGCTGGACATCGTATATAAGTAAACACATTCCCAAATAATACTGGAACTACTCACAGGATCCACCGCTGGTATGAGGTCGTTTGGTCCTCGATTGTCTCACCGTGCCGCTACCATGCGATCGCTCTTCCAGACTGTATTTCCTATCCAGACCCTTCAAATTGACAGCGCTGCGCGGAGAACCTACGAGTGATACTTCGTTTGCATCATTTCTATCATTTGTGACTTGAGTTTGAGAAGCACTCCCTCGCTTTCCCTGCTCTTCCTGCTTCAACTTCCGCTCCAGGGCAAGACTCTCGCCATATGCAGCTAGCTTTGCACTTAATGGTGTTCGGTCTGGTACAGCGCTTTCCACAGGTACTTGCTGGCTAACATCGACCTCTTGCATCTCCAAGATACTCCGTTGCGCCCGCTGCACCAGAGCTTCCGCCTGTGCGTGCGTCGAAATTGATCTGATGTCGATATCGAGCGCTGCTCGCAGGCCTTTTGCACTGTAAGTGGTTTCGATATCATGAGGGAATGCGGCGGACGACGAAGCCGCCCGACTAATAATACCTCGCCCACTATAATCCATGGCTGGGAACTCCGGAGGAGTGGAGACAGAAGAAAGGATGTGCGGTGGCGGAAGTTGAGGATGTTGCAGCCCTGGTGTCGTGAGGTATGCGCTTGTACCGCTAGTGCTCATGCTGCTCATTGAATCTCCCCGTAACCTGCACTCCATATTGCGTGTATCCAAGTGAGTAAGCTCCGTTGGCGAATCCAGGTCTTCGGGTGGGGGGGAGTTGATGTTAAACGGACCGTCGAAATTGGTGGAAGGCAAAACAATACCAGGGGAAGGAAGAGGGGAAAGAGATGCATGCGATGAAATCGTTGAATTTCGCCTGGATTGACCCTCTACCTTCAACGTACTTGACCGACTATCAGGCTGTATTAGACCTGCTGAAGATGTAATCGGCTCGTCGTATTGTTCGTCCTCTTCGAGATATTCTGGCTCTTCCGTAAATTCGGTTACCCCACTAGATGTACCAAGTTGGGCCGTAGGTATGAGTGGCGATCGAGAAGTGTCCGTATGAAGTGCGCTCCGCACAGAACTAATACTTCTGGCGGTTCGAACACTCCTACCCGGGCTATGACTTGAATGACGGCCGTTACCCTGTTGTGATGTAGAAGTAGAGCTAGAATCGAACCGCAGAGCACGCGATGCTGGAGTCCCTACAGAGTCGAAGGGAGGAATAGACGTTTGTGAATTACCAGATGAGATGGAGCGATAATGTGGGCGAAGGTAACCCAGCTTCACTGGCGGACTTGTAGATTCCAAAGAAGGGTTTGTCCTGGCTTGAGGCTGAAACGTGAAACCCTGATTTGATTGTGTCCGTGTCCTGAGTCTTTCATCTGACATGGCCCGATGCAGCTCAATCGCTAGCGGCGGATGCGATGCCGTTGTCTCACTGAATAAGCGACCACGAAATTTGCGGGTGACTGTGGCATCGAGAGGAGTCTCTTCTGTAGAAGGCGAAGCTACCCCACGAGGAGAAGCATTAGGAGATGGTGAGAATGACCCATTTGACAGTTGATAAGGAACGGGAGATGGTGACACGGATGTAGAGGATGTAGGTGAGGCGTAACTAGAGCTCTCCGACGCCCCTGGTATGTCAGCGTTATTCTTCTTAAATATATTCAACAAGGAAACCTTTCCCTTCACTCTGTGAGTGGTGGTGGTGTTTTCGGCGTCGGTTCCCGCAGATCTAGGCCTGCGTGAACTAGTTACTGCAACTGGGGGACGCCTTACCATCGGCATGGTCTGGTTCACGTCAAGCACATCCGGAAGGGAAGGGCGACGAGTAGACGAGTGATCCATTCTACTCGTACCAGTGTCATCTCGGAGCGCGGACTCCCCTAAACCGTCTGTGGGTATCAATGGAGACGCGACAATGGTTTCCAACGTTGGTACGGCAGAAGAGGACTGGAGGGATGATGAATGAGACTGAGCCAAAGAGGGCATCAAGACATTCAGAGCATGATCAATAGATCTCTTGACGCGCAACCTCTTGCCAATTGGGCAAATTTTGCAGTCGCTGCCTGAGCATGAATGGTGATGATGAGACTTGACATCCGCACTTGATTCTGCGTCAAGAGCCAAACCAGTCCCTTCCCTTTCCCGCAAGTCCCTGTCCTTGTTATGAACCCACTCTTGTAGGATATCCGCGCATGCCATGAAACCATTCTCGCGAGAAAGCACTTCAGGGGTCTTCCCATGTTTGTCAGTGCGGTCGGGATGAGCGCCGTGCATGAGCAAAGTGAGGACGACGTTGGTATGTCCATTGGCACAAGCGAAATGAAGAGGTGTAGAACCAGACGTTCCCACAATCGGCGCTGATGCGTCGCGGAATCTCTCGCTAAAATATCGTCGAGGCAGCCTGAGGAGATGACGAAAAATCAAATGTCTTGATTTTTTTTTAAATGCGATAACAAGAATTCTTACCGTGGAGCATTAACGTCAGCACCCTTTTCAATCAGTAGTCTTACAACAAGATCATTCCCCCCAGAACATGCAGCGTGGAGTGGAAGGACGCCATCGAGGACGGAATTGATAGGCTGTCCATGTTCGAGGGCATATTTGACCAATCCCAAATCGCCGGTAGCCGCTGCAGAATGTAAACCGAGGTGTGGAACTAGACGGAGGTCATGGCAAACGCATATATGAAGTGAAGCGGTGCCACATACAGTCAACAGTTACATTATACTTGGCTTGAATGGCCTCAGTCCTCTTCACCATGGGCATGGTGACTTGATATGGCCAAAGAGTATAGCAACACTGATGAAGGTGCTATATGACGGGGCACAGCAAGGCGTCAGTCGGAGGTCGCGCTACACCGGAGTCGGCCAAATTGGCTTTTTCTGGTCGAGTGGTCCAGGGCGACAGGGTTAAAGAGTAGGCCAAGCGACCGCTTGGGTCAAGTAGCACCCAGCACGAAAATGGATGGAGAAGGGGGGATGGGGGTCGCGGAGGGTAGGGATGGAAAGGGCACGGTGTAGGCCTCGGACAGGGCTCAGAAGAGGGGGAGGACCCGCGGTCAAAGGAGGACTGGCGGCTGTCAGGTGACATAAGCCTCCGTCCCCGCTTCTTGCACTCGCCCGAGTTATCATGGACCTCGATTTGCTTCTCTCGTTGCATCAGGCTGCCACTGCCCTCCTCCCCTGCAATATCAATGGCTGTCCTCGTCCCCTCCTGCTTAGCTTCGTCTTCGCATCGGCCCACCCTCAATATCTCGTCCAAAACAACCGGCTATCTCCTCACAGCGCTAACACCCCATGCACAACTCCACAAATCGCGCTAGTTTATCTATCAGCATGCGGTGCTATGAATAGGGAATTCAACCTGCCCCGGCAGTGCCCTCTTTTCTTTCAATCTCCCGAATACTACGTGATGCAACCTCCGTCTCCGCAGTTTCTCGTGCCTCTCACACGAATACAAATTCATATCCATTCCTCCCTCGATTTCCACTAGGGTGCAACTCATGGGTTCGACTTGGACTCGACAGACAGGCACCTCGGAGATACTGGCATCTGATACACAGCTTGGCATCAGTGTGCTGTATGCAGATGCAACAACGAGTGTTTCGAGCCCTGTCTCAATATCGGATATCGCCCTTGGCTGGTCGCTGTTCATATCTGGCCGTCCTCCGGGAAGGGATCCAACCTCGTTGACACTATCAATGAGCAAGCGCTCCGTGACGGTACGAACATTCTGCTCGCATGCACCTTTTTCGGACGATGCATTCTGCCACAATATCATAGAAGCATATTATGCCCCGACGAATTTTGACTCAGCCGTGCACGTTGCTCCTGCACGATGTGGGTGACCACTTGATCTACGTGGTTCAACAGTCATTCTTGGAAGCAGATGTGACACTTAGCGGAGCCTCAAGTATGTTGCGCGCGCGATGACTTCGGGTGTGTTGAACCTCCGCTCCGCTTCTTATGCCCTCGAGTTGCAGACGTGTGGGGTTGGTGAGCCCCATCGTGAGTAATTCATATCGTCACACGCACGCGCCACTGGATTGTGAGACGAGTCGCCGGGCGCTCCAGTGGACCACATATGATTCTGCTGTGCTCTTGGCTGCGCGTATGACATGTCTCCTGATCGAAAGGTGTCTGGATTTTCGTATGTACCCCAGCCCAAGGTCGGGTAACGGCGAGTAACTACTGAAATACTGCTCGTCACATACTTGTGCCACCTGCAGAAGATGTGCCAGGAGTGTTGGCATTACTCAACGAGTTGGGCCTTCGGGCCCGGTGTGCCGATAGGCGTACGTATCAAGCTTTCCTCGAACGTACTGCTATGCAATCAAAGTTATGCAACGATGCAATCTTTGGGGATAGACGCGCTGATACTAAGACTGAGTCGTGCTCCAATCGCAGAGTATTGTTAGTGAGCAATATTGATTATGGTCACATGATCGCATTCAAGGTCAAATACTGCGGTCTATACCCGGAGGACTTTTCTCTCATTTCGACCCGTGGTTGTGTATACTCAACGTTTAGGCCAAGTAAGAGGCCGTTGATCTACTGAAGACCGATCAAACACCGAGCAAACTTTGATCACGATTATTCTGTTCGTGGAATTGAAGATAGGTGATGTTACGTGTCAGTAGCTGTCCTCCGACGGTCTTGGGTTTTCGAAGATCGTCTTTCCGCTCGCTGCTCCGCTTTACCTCCACGACTCGAACATTCCAAAGTGAGGTAGCTTTCTGAGATCGTGAGACATATGTTTAATCAAGAGATAGATTACGTGGATGCTCCGCCTCTTGCATTTGCTTTTGATATAGTGCGTCAGCCTTGATGGAAATTTGACCATGGATTGCTGTATTTTTCGGCCATAGGACGGTGTTCTTCTCCGTGGTCCGCATGTCATACCAGCTGCCAGACGTGCATTGGCTATACTTGAAGGAGATAATCCGATGCGAAAGTATGTATACGTATTTGTTTTGTTCGTCATATATTCATGCTGTTAACGAGCCCAATACAAGGAAGATTCCATATATTTTGGTTAGAATTGCTTCGTTGGACTTGTTTTAGGCGCATATTTAAAGATATCTGTGCATAGCTCACCAATGGCGGCGGCTCTAGCGAGGAAGCTCGCTGCCAGAAGCTTACTGCCCAGCTAGGATTTAATGTCCGCCTAATTTGGTTGTTTCTCGAGTGCTAGTCAAGCTAACTGCGTAGATATAGATCCATCCCCTTCAATTCATACAATCCCATACCATCCTCAAAACCGTAGCGCAGGACTATGCAGATCGACCAGTGTTGGTGCTCGGTGGCCGAAATGGCGAGGTTCGTAAAGTGGCCGAGGAGTAGGTATCTCAGTATGCCCTAAAGTAGCCTCTGACGTCCTCTAAAAGGTATGGATTCAAGAACGCTTACACGACCCTCGATGTATTAGCATGGAATCCTGCGTAAGCCGTATACATTTAGGTATTATGACGCGAGCAAACAATGGTCACCAATTAAAACAGGGTTTGGCCATTTCATACCCTCACCCCGTCGGAACAGCAGTCCGTCAAGGTACAGTTGCTCCAAGCCACCCAACCATATGTTCCTGATTTCAAAGCGCCTGCTCGCAGTCAGCTGATTTCTCTCGAACTCCTATCGCCGCGATATTCGTATTTCATGACCCGCGCAATTGGGCTCTTGATATTCAGATTATTTGCGACGCGATACAGTCTGGAGGCATAATCGGCGCAACTCCCACGGTGCAGCATGTGCGACCCAGTGGTCCAAGACGTCCGGAACTTTTTTTTTGTAATGGAGATATGTTGTGGAAATCAGACTTCCAGCGGCCACGGTTCGGTCAAGGTGCATTTCGTGTGGCTTTCCAGGCTGTCTACGAGGTACGTTATCGTGACACATTGATATCGTTCTACGTTAAACATAATTCATACATGAATCCACAGTCACTGACTGGCTCTAAGTATCCTTGCGTGCAATATGGCAAGCCAACCGAGGCAACATATATGTTTGCGAAACAAGTGTTGAGGGATAGGTTCAGAGACCTATACGGTCGTGTCTCAGTGAAAGAACCGCATGTGTCAGTATCTCTTCTATTTATCGATACTTTCAAAAGCTGATATCAGCGTTGTTAGTTATATGGTAGGCGGTGAGCTCTCATGGTGTGCCTCGTTAAACAGACCTTGTCTCACGCAACGGTGTTTCCTCTTTTCAGACAATCCAGAATCTGGTGCGTATTCTTCGTAAGTACTACACTGTTTATTCACGCACGAGTGACATGCTGGCAGACGTCATTGGGGCGAACGCGGCGGGCTGGTCATCTTTGCTCGTTCGGACTGGGGTGTATGACCCACGCCAAGGGCCGCCTGCTCACGTCCCGACACATGAAGTAGAAGATGTTCTGGAAGCTGTCACTTGGGCCATTGAGCGTGAGATGCAATCGTGAGCGGACCTCGTGGAACCGTTTGTCACTAAAATCGAGAGGGCGAGTCACACAGAGCTCTTGACGTTGACAGCGGGAGCATAAAACGTCTGTTAGAACTTATACTGACTTCACTAGCAGCACCTGCGTGCGTTGTTCGTAGTAGCGAACATGCCGTTTTGATTTCTCCCGACTAGAGTAGGTGTAGCCTAGAGTACTAAATATGTGAAGCCTCATAAAATGATATGGTGTACTGAATAGACTTCAAGGCTGTGGTGCCACTCGGCATTGCAATGTGTGATTCAAGAGATCATGCTAGGATAGTACTATCATGCAAGAGATAGATCGATAGCTATCGGTAGCCGGATGCACTCAATTGGGTCCGCTAACAGTAGATTCGAAGTTGAAGTGGCTCTGGCGTTTCGACCGCCTATTGACCATGGAATCCAATTCTACCATGGCACGGAACGATCTCGAGCCAGGGTTGCATATTTCTACTTCGAGTTCTACTGAACCCCTGGGCTTGGACGAAACCTTGAAGGCAGTAGGAGCCCCGGCCGACCTCACAAAATCGTTCGATCATGATGATGCCTTAACGCCTCAGGCTGCGCCTGCAGAAACCATCTCGAACTTCAGCGAGATTGGTGTTAGCTTCAGAGCTGCCGGTGGGACCACCGTCAGTCGAGATAGTGACGACCCGACAAGTCCGCCGTCGGAGGGCATCACACAAGATGCGGAAACCTCGCTTGCGGAATTTTCTCGACCTCTCGACAGGAGAGCAATCATTTTGCTACTTATACAGCATTTCTCAAAGTAATTATTCAACCCCTCATCATCCACAATTATGTGATATTCTAATCAGCTCGAGTTATAGTTCGTGGGGCTCGCGTACGGCCGAGTTCGCCATATATCTCTTCCTTATTACTGTCTTCCCAGACACCCTATTGCCCGCCTCCATCTTCGGGTTTCTTACTACAGGTACTGCGATCGTTCTCTCAGGCTGGGCGGGTCATCAAGTTGATGTGCATCACAACCTTCGTCTCGTTCGTGTGTGCATAGCCACCGTCAAACTCTCAGCATGTGGGGCGTACGCTGGGATACTTGCCCTACTATATCGCCAGGTCCCTGGATCCGAATACATCTGGTCGTCTTCCCTTTACGCCGGAATGTTTGCATTGGTCATCCTCTGCGGCTGTGTTCAGAATTTGGCGGGGGTTGCTATCACTGTCGCAATTGAAAGGGATTGGGTGACCGTCATCGCGGAGGGGTCCTCAGTGCATCTGACTATGCTTAATACATATATGCGGCGCATTGATCTGTTGTGCAAGTTGCTCGCACCACTGTTCGTATCTCTGCTCACAAGTGTCGCTTCATATACCTTTGCTGCTTACTTGTTGTGTGGCGTCGAGGCAGCGTGTGCTGTCTTTGAATTGCTCTGTACGTTTCAAGATAGCCGTCTTTCTTCCAGCTTTCTGAAAGCCTGTTTCCAGGGATATCAGTTGTATACCGACGACTTCCCGTTTTACAAAGAGCCCAATCGGAGAAAGAGGCAGTCAGAGAAGAGAGGCAGCAGTCGCGCGATACCCCCCAGCATATTCGCTTGGTTTATCAACTCACAACAAAAATTAGGTTGCACTTGCTCGATTCTATCTCGGACTGGAAGGAGTTTGTTAGGCATCCAATATTTCTGTCCTCATTTGCCATTTCTTGCCTTTACTTCACCGTTTTGAGCTTTGACGGTACGATGTTGGTTTACCTTAAGTCTCAGACATACGACAATGCGTTCCTTGCTGGAATGCGTGGCTTGAATGTTGTTGCGGGATTACTTGGGACACTGGCAATGCCAATTTTGGAACGGAAATTGGGTTTGGTACGTGCAGGGAATTGGAGCATTTGGTCAGAGTTTAATCATCTCTGCGAAGTACAAGCACACTAATCAGTTAGAATTCAGGTGGGAGGCCATATGTCTAATCCCCGTCATGCTTTCATTTTATGTCGGTGCCCCTCCATCTAATGAACGTGCACCGAGTTGGAATGCTGCTATGCTGTTTGGAGGTGTGTCCGAATGGGAGCTTATTTCTTCACGTATGTGTTATTTATCAATAGCTTAGGCATGATGTTATCTAGAATCGGACTCTGGGCATTTGACCTCTGTCAGCTGAAAGAGCTGCAGATGGCACTGTCTGATCATCCCCGGCGAAATGCCATGTAAGCCCCGAGCCATAGCAACATGTGTAGAGACTGATTTTCATGGACCCTCTCAGCACTGCGCTCCAGTTCTCGCTGCAGAACATCGCTGACATGCTGAAGGTAAGCTCATCTGCTGAGTGTATTGAGCGGAGAGGTTTTACAAGGCATCTATTTTACTAGTACGTCGTCACTATGATTCTGTCGCAACCTTCGCAGTTCAAAATCGCTGCTCTAACATCGTTTTTGAGCGTGGTATGTGGCGCTTTGGCGTACGTCGTATATGTGAAGAAAGAGCGAGGCCACGTTTTCCATCATAACCTCAGTGAAATGATAACACTGTTGAGATGGAAGTCCCAATAAATATGAACGTTCCTACTAGCTCAATGATCCATAAATGGCTTGCAAGTTGAATCCGAGGATAGGCTCACGGTCTCTCTTGTTCTTATGACATTCGAATCCCTACTAGTAATAGCAGATTGAGGCCGCGACACAGCCATGTCGTCATTACCTGAGGCGCCTGTACGCATTGACGATTATCCTCCCGCGGACCCAGTGCCATATGATAGAGTATCTGTTACCCATATCATACTGGCAGCAGAATATCTATGCTCCCGTTGCCTGTCTCGTGGACTAGAAGGCGTTACTTCTCCAGACAAGATGTTCGACCATATAGAAGTACAAAGGATGCGTTGCTTACCCGCGCGCGCATAACCAACCTCGGTCTCCTGTTACTTGCTGCTCTCACCGCTTTCTCTTTGTTACTCAACTTCAAGCACTACTTTTTTACCAATGCTATCTCTCCGGGGCTCCACCCTCACTACATTCGGCCGTCTGGAATACTAGCGACGCTTCAGCGTGATGCCTCGTTGGCCAACATAGACCACTTGATCATTGTCCCTGGCCATGCCATATGGCGGGGTATTGATCCCGCGCGGAGGTTAGAAGATGATGAATGGATCCTGGAACCTTACCAGAGAGGTGGGGGTCGTACCTCTGCGTTTTTCGGTCATATCGCTTCTGGGTGAGTAGGTGATAGTCATTCCCACACCGCAATGGCGTTCATGTACATTTTGCTGCAGAGTAGAGTTGGCCCGACAGGATCACAATTCATTACTTATCTTCAGCGGGTATGTCTACTTGTTGCAATATCTACAGAAAAATATCACAGCTTGCGTTCCAGTGGCCAGACCCGACATACCTCGATGACCACGGAGGCCGAGTCTTATATGCGGTTAGCCCTCGCCTCCAACCTGCTGCCTCCTCCCATCGCTCCATCTTTTGCTGCCGTCCATGCTACAACAGAAGACCATGCGCTAGACTCGTATCAAAATTTGTTGTTTTCTATCGCTCGATTCCATGAGTACACCGGTCGCTATCCAGAACAAATCACCGTAATTGGATACGAGATGAAGAAGCGCCGATTCACAGAGCTGCATCGCGCGGCATTACGATGGCCGCAGGAACGTTTTCATTACATCGGTATAGATGCTGCAGGAGACGAGAAGATGAAAGCACAGGAAGGCGAGGTACAGCTATGTATTCAGAAGGTTTCTAACTTCTCACAAACGGTGTCATAGAGGTTGAACGGTTATCTGCCTTACACCTTGGACACCTACGGGTGCCACGATATCTTACTGTCGAAACGGCGCGCGCGTAATCCTTTTATGCGATATCATTCCTATTATACATCCGCACCAGAGCTAAATACCCTTTTCGATTGGTGCCCAGGGGATCGTGAAGGCGGCCAGACCGGATTCTTTGATGGACCTCTCCCTTGGGATCATCCATGATTTTTTGATGTAGGCCCCAATTCTGTGCCTCTCATATCACAAACGGCTTGGCTTCATGTACAGAGTGGCTGTCTTTCGCCCACCCTAGATGAGCTAATTGGATGTTTCAATTTCTGTATCCGCCTTCAATGGCATAATTGCTATGCTATCATATCACATTGTAAGAGGTCTTATAACCTATTCTGCGTCTAGAGAATTATAATATGAATCGGAATATTATTGCGCCTGTTGCTAATGGTTGTTTGTTAGTATCTGCCTTTTTTCCTACGTATGGCGCTATAGCCAAGTGGTTACGGCGACAGATTAGAACTTGATGACATAATCTTTCACGTGATCTGTTCCTCTTTGAGGGCGCAGGTTCGAGTCCTGCTGGCGTCGAATGCTTTTTGCGCACCCTGTCAAGGTTGAGGTGTAGTCAGGCAGGGGAGGTGACTTGGACAACCTCACGGTCAAGCAATCAAACAGTGTTAAACATTAAACACCAAGGCTCATGGGTACAGGGGCACTGGGCACTGGGCACTGATGCAACCTCAGGAAATCTAACCCTAACTCAGGAGGTGCAAAGTAGAGGGTGAGTTTCTGTTTCTCAGTGATAGGCCCATGTAGCATATGGGCATTGATAGGCCTGCATAGCACATGGGCGTGCTTCGAGCCGACATCGACATTTGAAGCATTTGAAATGTCTGCCTTCAGGAAAGCTTGCAATACCTCAACATGAAACCTCTTCAAGTGAAGCCTGTTCTTCAATATCTTCAAAGCATTGCGACCTCCCTGCAATCTGATTGGGATCTTTTGGTGATGGCCTTATTCTGGGGGCTTGACTTTGAGGGCAAATCCCTATCATCAAGAGACTGAGACACCTGATACAGGACTGTCGTGTGACCCTTTAGGTTGGTGCGCTTGGGTAGCAACGCCAAGACTCGCAATGGTTGGGCCTCTAAGACTAGCAGAATGTAGCGTGTGGGATGGGTGTTGAAACTGATGGAGGCATTGGGTGGGTGTCTGAAGGGTATTGGGATTATTAGGCACAGTCAGGGCAGTGGAGGCAGCTGTTAAGGGACCTAGCGACTGGGATCAGGAGTTCGACTGAAAACTGGAA